TTACCAATTTGTTTGTTTTATTTCATTTATCTACTTGGTTTTTACGTGTGCCTAAAGAAGACTTTCGAAGGAATTATTTCATTTGTACGATGTACATTAAACTTGTTCTTCTGTGGAAATCCAAGAAGGCTTGCTACTAGCTTTTTTAGAGTAAATAAATGGAATTTTGGTCTTTTTTCTTGCAGATATTGCCTGATGAGTGTTAAAGACTGTTACACGGACTTTCACATTGATTTTGGAGGTACATCCGTTTGGTACCACGTTCTGAAAGGCAAAAAGGTGGGTATTAAAAGTACTTAGTGACGTTTGTGTAATAAATTTTTAAAAGAGTTTCAGGTATTTTGGATGGTAGAGCCTACTGAAAAAAATTTGGCCTTGTATGAACAGTGGATGATGAACACTTCAGCTGGAGACTCACCGTTTTTTGGAAGTTTAGTGGGAAAATGTTCTCGTATTGAACTTTTAGCTGGGGATACCTTTATAATTCCTTCAGGTGCTTTTTTTGGCTTTGACCTGTTGCATAAGCTCACTTTTTCCAGACCTCACCGTCTGGCTACTTACGATCTTTTTAGGTATGGCACTTTTTTACCACGGTTATCGGGTAATTATTAAAACTTTATTGAAAAATGATTGGTTTACACAGTTTTTATTCTATTTTTCGTTCTCTACAGCTTTTTATTGTTAATTGAAGGTTGGATTCATGGCGTCTACACTCCAGTCGACAGTTTAGTTTTTGGAGGAAACTTTTTACACAGTTTTTCAATTCCTATGCAGCTACGCGTATTAAGATGTGAAGAGAAAATCAAAGTACTTTTTTTTAAATAATTCATTATCATAAAATTCCTGTTGTGCTATACTGACTTGGAGCTCGTTACCGATTTAAGGACTGTAATGTCGATTTTTACATCTGTTTCTACTGTTACTGTGTATGTAGTACCTGAGATTTGGCCTCTTTTTTACCAGGTTACTAAAAAATATCGTTATCCTCATTATAACGAAATGTTATGGTATGTTGTTAATGGCGTTGTTCAATTTGCTTCCGGACGTTCACATCTCATTGAAACGGATCTTGCTAAAGCTAGTCAGGATGAGGTATTTTTTTTCTGGTCAATATTTGCATCTATTTCTAAGTCGCCGAGAATTTATAAAGTTAACAGTATATTCTTATGGAATTTAGGATACTTTATGTCAACAAGAATCATTGGCTGACTCGGGACCTGAAGTATCCATCGAGAAGAAAAGTATTTTTTTTTTCAGTGTTATGAATTGCTTTTTTGCTTTTTTAGTTAGGATTGGTCATGTTGTCGTCACAAAATCTGTTGCTGATCACTGTTTTAGATAAATTTTTTGGCCATATTGATGAGGGTACGTTATTTCTGGAGAAGACTGAGGAAGTTAAAAAGGTACCTTAAACTTTATCGATTCTTGTTTTAAACTAAGTTTTAATTGGCTGGAAGTTTTTTGTATCATTTTTTATAGGTTGAAGCTGTTAGTTCATCAGACGAGGATTTGAAACGACACAATGAAAATTTCAGTAAAGGTAGTGTCTTTAATTACAAAGCGGTTGGAGGTGGCAGCTGTATAGCAAAGTACAGGTTCTTCTTTCTTTCAAAAATTTATGCTTTTAATTTCGTGGAGAAGTATTCTAGACTATTTGGCGGCAATGACAAAGTTCGAATATGATGGTTACTGTACTCTACTTCAGTACTTGCGCAAGAAGTTGAAGACGAAGCAAAGGCATGAAGTAGTTCAAAAAATAAATGACCCAGAAGGACTCTTGAAGCTTTTTGAAGTATTATAGTTATCTACTGGTTTATATGATTTCTCTTCTAGCTTTGACTTTAAAATCTCTAGAATACAGACGCATGCTTTCACTTTGAAATTTAGAAGAGGTATAAAAATTTCAATTGATTAATTGATTAAATTTTTTTAAAAACTTACTCGAGCTTTCATAAACTTGAGAACGTGCTTTTGATGTAGAAAGTGCTACAACGAAAAGTAGAAATTGATAATGGAGAAGTGGCAATGGAAAGTGTAGACAACCAGGAGAGTGGGGATTTTGTGGGCGATACTGTCGAGAAGGTATCGAGTGTCTCCTTATTCTTTTCTGAAAGTTCAACTTTTTTTTTTTATTTTTTATATGGATTTGCCGATTGGTTGTTGGTTTTCCACTATTATTTTTCCCTGTTTTTTGCTTCTTTAGTAAATTTTTTCAAGGATGACACTGTTAAAGATGTTGGAAGCGTTTCACCGAAATCGGAAACATTTGAGACGCTTGTTCATGCAAATCCGGATTCAACTTGCAATGACGTGGCTTTAAACGTTGAAGGTTATAGCTAGAAAATTTGCCTTTCTCAGGTGGCTTTTTTGTAGATCACGGGCTTGTTTTTAGTGGCGACCTATCAGGAAGAAAATAATAGTGAGGATGTTGCTGGAAGCGGGTATGAAGAAGATTTTCATAGTAGACAGTCCTTTATTGTGGGAGGTTTGGAAAAGTCAGATAGTGAATCTTCGTGCGATATTGATAACAATGCAGAGACACATAAAGATACCGAAGGAAAAGGTTCAAGAAGCATTGTTGGTAGGACTGTGTTAGATTCAGATGATATCGAAATTGATGTTGCTGAACCCTATGGCAGCCCGGCCGAAGATCGTAACTCGGAAAAATCTTACTCTAAGGTACATATTGTACGAAGTAGTTTTTAGCACTTCTCCAGTTTTATTGATTCATGTAATGACTTATATCTTTTGCAGCACAGTGTTGTACGGAAAAAGCTGACCACAAAACGTGGTACAAAGCGAAAACTTCCAGTTAGAGAGAAAGGTATTGGATTGAGAAGTCTTTGTGTTAGACATATTGAGATTCCGTTTGTAGTAGTATTTGAATGAGTAGTCTTCAATTCGTTTTATCGTTGTCTGGATTCCTAATTGTCTAGAAATTCAATTTATATTTCTAGAGTAAGACTTTTATTTTCTTTAGTCTTGCTATTTATTTATTCTGCTGGTATTATAAGCTCAGTTTTACCGATTCTTTGTTACATCACAGTGTTATAAAACTTCTTTTTAAAGCAAAACAAAGCAAGAGTAAAAATCGGAAAAATGACGGTTTGAGTTCTGATCGACCACTGATAGTCGGTGGACTACCTCCAGCAATAATGCCTGCAGACGCTCCTGTAGCTCCTAATCCATATCAGTACGACCCTATAGCAGCAGTAACTCCTTTAGGGCACAGACAGTTGCGAGCAGCGTATCGTGTGACTCCCGATGTTAGTTGTTCACGCTTATTTGATTTAAAAATCAATTAAAACAAATTGTTTATTTTTTTAAGATGGCACAAGCCCCTCCGACTCAGAAATTTCGATTACATCCCATTCGGCAAACTACTAGTTCTCTTTCTGGTTCTGAAAAAAATGAGGTGAATATGGAATCTAAGGAAAAAACTGAACAGCCTGCAGGAACTGCTTGCGAAAATTCAGTTTCTTCAACTTCGGAATTGCCTCGGACCGAAAATATAATTTCATCGGACTTGACGGACAGGAAAGTGACTAAAAGGCATGACTCATCGAGTTCTGCCCCGACGAAGGATCGTGGTTTACGTAATATGTCGCGCTCCGGTGAGTTGTATAGTTATTTTTACTGATGTCTGAAAGTTACTTCAACGGTAAAAAACTTGACGAATTAATTTAATCTGCTGCTTAGGCTATCAGTAGGTGGTTTTTTTTAAATGCATTTATTGAGTAGTATAGTAAAACTTGGTTTATTGTGTCATGAATAATGGAACATATTATACCTGCGGGTTGCTAATGACTGTTGCGATCTAGGTCGAGAAAAAAAGTCTGTAGAGCAGCACAAGTCTTCATCTGTTGAGTTTGAATATAAGTCTCCACTTGCACACACGTATGTGCATTCTGCTGCTCCTTCATCTTCAACTTCCTCAGCGTTAGTTTTATATTTACTGTGTTCCTAATGCTCCTGGCTTAGCCCTTGTCTTAAAAAAGACTGAATAGTTTTAACCTTAAAAATTAAATCTTCAGCCTTTGCTTAGTGTCATTACTGTTTTTTCTCTTCATTTCTATCGGTTTAAAAAAGCTACTACAATTTTGTGTTAATTTCAATTGCAGTATCAAAACTGTAGTCGGGAATGCAAAAAAGTCGTATGATGATCTAGCGGGGAAGAAAAGATCGGAGAGATCGAGTTTTAAAGATGGTTATAGGCACTTCGACCGTTCACGATTTGTTCCTTTAACCGTCGTTAAAAAGTATATCTTAAGCTTTTTAACATTGCTTGACAATAATTTTTGATTCTTTTGCTTAGTGGCCAAAAAATCTCCAGTTTTTTCATATCGGTGGTGCTTTGGCTTCATTCTTTTTTTTTTTTTTTTTTTT